GAGCCAAAGGCAGACATACGCTCAACCACTAAGCCACCCAGGTGTCCCAAATAGGCATTTCTTTTAAAGGGATTTAAGTAATTTTTAAAAATCTTAGGTGTGAGGGACACCTGGGTGGCTCAGCAGTTGAGCTCCTCCTGCCTTTGGCCCGGGGTGTGATCCTAGAGTCCCAGGATCGAGTCTCGTGGGCTCCCCACAGGGAGCCTGCTTCTTCCTCTGCCTGTGTCTCTGCCTCTCTGTGTTTCTGATGAATAAATAAATAAAATCTTTATATAAAAGAAAAGATTTATAAATCTTATATGTGAACTTCTGTTGTTATTTCCAGTGCTTTCCATCCTTTTGTGTGGGCCCCACACTTCTGCCTGGCATTGCTTGCCTTCTGCCTGAAGGGTGACCATTCCCATATGTAGCAGTTCAGGTCTGCTGCTGATGGATTCTCCAGCTTTTTTATATCTGAAATTCTGTTCATTCATCTTGGTTTTTGGAGGTTTTTTGTCCTCGGTACTTGAAACATGTTGCCCGCCCCACTGTGTTCTTTTAGATGCCTCGTTTCTGACAAGGAGTCTGCAGCCATCCTGGTCTTTGACCTCTTTATATAACGTGGTTTTTCCCACTGGTTGCTTTCAAGATGCTCTCTTTATCACTAGTTGTGAGTGATTTTATTAGCACGTGTGGACATTTGTGTGATGTTCTTTGTGGCCCTTGTGTGTAGGGTCGGCCTAGCTTACAACTGTGGGTTTGTCTTCATCCAGCTACTTCCAACATCTCCGGCCCCCTCCTCCCTCTTTCCTGAGTGCTCCAGTGATAATAGGTATTAGGTGGCTTGAAGCTGTTCTTGCTGCTTTTCCAGTGGTATCTGTTGCTATGCCTTCGAGTCATGCAGCTTTTCTTTTGCACCATCTAATCTCAGACACTAGTTCTCATCTATAAAAGTTGGATTTGAGTCTTTTTTTTTTTTTAAGATTTTATTCATGAGGGACACAGAGAGGCAGAGACAACAGGCAGAGGGAGAAGCAGGCTCCCTGTGGGGAGCCCAATGTGGGACTCAATCCTGGAACCCCGGGGTCACAACCCGAGCTGAAGGCAGATGCTCAGTCACTGAGCCACCCAGGTGTCCCAGATTTGAGTCTTGTATAAATTTTCCATGCCACCACTTTGTAGCTTTTTTGACATGGAATATAATTAGAATATATAATAACTTTTAAAATATTTATTTATTTATTTTTAGAGAGCACACGAAGGGAGAGATGGGGGGAGAGAAGCTCAAGCAGACTCCTTGCAAAGCACAGAGCCTAACTCAGGGCTCAATCCCATGACCTTAAGATCAAGAGTCAGACACTTAACTGACTGAGCCACCCAGACGCCTCTATAATAGCTTTTTTTAAAAAGATTTTTATTTATTTATTCATGAGAGACACACACAGAGAGAGAAACAGAGGGAGAAGCAGGCCCCATTCAGGGAACCCAATGTGGGATTCAATCCCAGGGCTCCAGGATCATGCCCTGGGTGGAAGGCAGGCCCCAAACTGCTGAGCCACCCAGGGATATCCCTATCATAACTCTTATTGTGCTTCTCTGCTAATTCTAACATCTGAACCAGTTTCAATTGATTGTTCTCAGTGTGGATGTTTTCCGCTTCTTTGCATACCTGGTAATCTTTGGACGGCAGACGTTGTGAATTTTACTTGCTCACCCGCTTGGTATTTTATCCTGTTCCTCACGTTCTTTCTCTACCTAGTTATGGGATGAAGTCAAGTTACTTTTGTCTGTTCAGTTTTTGCATTTCTGCTGACAGTTGAGGCAGGAAGGGGGCAGCCTATGGCCCACGCAGCTTGTGTCCCGTCTTTCAGGCCTGGGTGTTGTTCATTGTCTCATGTTCAGAAAAACCATTTTTCCACATGTTCTGAGTTATGTTCAGTGTTCTTGTTTTTGTGGATGTCAGGGCTAGTTAGGCCCCCATTACTCCATCTTGGTTGATATAGAGTAACTTAATAATAGTATCTGCTTCTGACTCAGGGTTTCTTATACCAAACACATTACTCATAATGGAAAAGATCGATATGTTCATCTTTGTTAGAATTTCTCATCAAAGGGATCCCTGGGTGGCGCAGCGGTTTGGCGCCTGCCTTTGGCCCAGGGCGCGATCCTGGAGACCTGGGATTGAATCCCACGTCGGGCTCCGGGTACATGGAGCCTGCTTCTCCCTCTGCCTGTGTCTCTGCCTCTCTCTCTCTCTCTGTGTGTGACGATCATAAAAAAAAAAAAAAAAAAAAAAAAAAAAAAAAAAGAATTTCTCATCAAAAAGCTCCAAAAGAAAAAATATGCCTGACATAAAAGCAACAATGGTTTAGTACCAAGAATTTTTTTAAAATTTTATTTATGTATTTGAGAGACAGTGTGCTTGCACACCCGCACAAGTAGGGGGAGGGGCAGAAGGAGGAGCCAACTCCCCTCTGAGCAGGGAGCCTGACACAGGACTTGATCCCAGGATCCTGAGATCATGACCTGAGGTGAAGGCAGATGTTTATTTTTTTTTTAATTTTTTTTATTTATTTATTTATGATAGGCACACAGTGAGAGAGAGAGAGAGAGAGAGAGAGAGAGAGAGGCAGAGACACAGGCAGAGGGAGAAGCAGGCTCCATGCACTGGGAGCCCGACGTGGGATTCGATCCTGGGTCTCCAGGATCGCGCCCTGGGCCAAAGGCAGGCGCTAAACCGCTGCGCCACCCAGGGATCCCAGAAGGCAGATGTTTAACCTACTGAGCCACCCAGGAGCCCCAGAACCCAGAATTTTTAAAGAACGGCTATAAATAGGCAAAAGACTACCTGATACAGAAATTGCAAAAGACATGGGTAGACATTTCAAAGAACAGCGTGTGGCCAATAAGTATATGGAAGAAAGATCCAAACTGAGAGTTCATTGACACACTCTCTCACACCCACTGCATTTTGATGAAGAGTCAGCGATCTGCTTCCACCAGCTCACTGCTGGTGGGTGTGTGGAGTGGGCTCTCTGTCTTAGGAAACAAGGTGACATTATCTTGCAGAGTCAGACAACTTGTGCTCCGTGTTTGTAGGCATGTGCCTGGGGAAACAGGATGTGAACAAGAATTTGGTGTAGAAGAATTTTCATCCGGGGACATGAATAAGGGTGTACTTAGTAGCACCGTCTGTAATGAAGCAAACCCAGATAGTCCAAATGAAAGAATAGATGAATTATGATCTGTTCTCCAAAGGGAAGACTATACAGCAGGCATAAAAAGCAATGTAGGGGGCACCTGGGGGGCTCAGTGGTTGAGCGTCTGCCTTTGGCTCAGGATGTGACCCCGGGGTCCTGGGATCGAGTCCCACATCGGGCTCCCTGCAGGGAGCCTGCTTCTCCCTCTGTGTCTCTGCCTCTCTCTGGGTCTCTCATGAATAAATAAACAAAATATTTTTTAAAAGGCAGAAAAACAACAATTAGAAATATAAAATTCCATTATATTAGTTTCTGGTGTATAACATAGTGACTTGACAGGCCTCTATATTACACGGTGCTCACTATGGTGGATGTGGTCACCATGTCCTGATAGTATTATTGACTATTCATCCTAGTGACCTTTTTATTTTTTTCTTTTTCTTTTGGACTTATTTTATAACTTGAGAGATTGTACCTTTTAATACCCTTCACCTATTTTGTTCCATCCTCTCTGGCAACTCTACCACTTGACTCTGTATTTATGAATGTTTCTTATTTGCCTGTTTTGTCCATTAGATTCTACATAGAAATGGAATCCTATGGTATTTATTTTTCTTTGACTTATTTTACTTTGCATGGTATTCTCTAGTCCATCCATGTTGTCTAAAATGACAAGACTTCATCCTTTCTAACGGCTGAATGTTAAACCGGCATCCTTCTTTATTAAAAGCAAGGGAATGATAAAGTCCTGGATGCGTCATTCTGTGGGGAGTACAGGAGTGAGTGGAGAGAGGTGTGTAACGGTAGGCGTAGTTATGAGGAATGACCTGGGTCTGGGTAGGTGGTGGGCTAAAGACCTTTGCTTCATTCTGCTGTGTAACTTAGCTATTTTTTTAATTTGTTCTCATGAAACATGTAACACGTTTTTAAGTAATTAATTTTCAAAGTGAAAGGGAGTTGCCTAGTTGGTATCACAACTTAATAGAAAGCTGAACTAAAAACTTAGTTTTGGTCAAGGGCCCCAGCCCTCAGTGTTCACAACAGTGTCGGGGGACTCAGTACAGATGAGAGTAGAAGGTGGGTACGCACAGGCCCACATCGCACCAAATAGTGATTGAATGAGTAGACGGGAGGGAAGATCAAATCTGAGTACTGTATGTAGGTGCTCTGCCCTCAAGAAGCGGAGCAGGACCCCGGCCCGAAGTATGGGCTCGGGCTCGCATGGTCTTCCCAAAGAGAACAGTCACACGCCCTGAGGACAATGAGCACACCCCAGCCAGGGGTCACAGCCCATCCTCGGTGAGGAGCAAGGACCCCTGAGTGACGCGGTGAGAAGCCTTCAGCTCCGTGGTCTTCCTCCCCAAACCCATCGCCCCACGTGAGACGTGTCCCGATGGAGGGAGGGTCCCAGCACCCCCAGAACTGCTGGGCCACCTGAAACCAAGGACAGGAGAGCCGGCACGGCCCAGAGGCCCAGAGGCGTCGGGGGGAAATGTGACGTTCAGGGTGGAGAGAGGGTGTGACGGGAACCAAGGAAACCTGAACAGAGTGTGGACTTTGGTTAACCACAGGGAGCCTGTGCTGGTCCCGGTTCGGAGGATTCGGATTCGTGGGGAGGGCGGGGCGGGTGGGGACTCAGCTTTTTTCAGAGGAGCCCTTCTTGGTCTGCTCACTTCCCCCCTCCCCCCACCCGCCCCTGGCCTTCCATTCTTTCCTTGGTGTCACTTCTAGCCGCTGCCCGCCTGGTCTTGGCCTCGTGGTGTGTGTCTCGTGGGGTGTGTGCCAGCATGCAAGCACAGGCATGGTGGGTCTCTCTTGCAGTGGGCATCCCCACCATCCGGTGGTGTGGTGCAGAGGGAGACTACAATGTCATGGTGATGGAACTGTTGGGGCCGAGCCTGGAGGATCTCTTCAACTTCTGCTCGAGGAAGTTCAGCCTCAAAACTGTCCTGCTGCTTGCTGACCAGATGGTAAGAATCCATTTTTCTGAGGTGACAGGGAGCTGGGCCCCTGACACGTGCTTGCTGTGACTCAGAAGTCTGGCAGCTCGTTCAGGGGCTCTTGTCCTTGTCTTATGCCTGTTAGTGCCCAGGGACTGAGCGAGAACATTAATCTTTGGTGCGGGATCATGCGTGCGGGCTGGCCTTGGAGACCACCCCACATGGCTCCAGTTCCCTCAGGATCCTGTGTGTGCTTCCTGGTGGGACCCTGCAGGAAGGACTGCTGGTGTAGATGCGTGTCTGGGAGTGGTGGTCCCATCAGGCTGCCGTGGGTCCAGCCCCCTGAGAGCCAAGGAGAGAAAAGACCCGGGCCTGGTTGGGGTACTAAAGGTGGTCCAGTCAACATCCTTCCCTGGTTGTTGAGTTACTCTGCTCTGGCCAAGGGCTGCAAGACGTGCAGCTGAGGGCACGGCCCTCACTCTGCCAAGCAGGTGCCTTTCCCGAGGCTGCTGCTGGGATTCGATCTTGTCATTACTTCCCTACCTACAGATTAGTCGCATCGAATACATTCATTCAAAGAACTTCATCCACCGAGACGTGAAGCCAGATAACTTTCTCATGGGGCTGGGGAAGAAGGGCAACTTGGTGTACATCATCGACTTTGGGCTGGCCAAGAAGTACCGGGACGCCAGGACCCACCAGCACATCCCCTACCGCGAGAACAAAAACCTCACTGGGACGGCGCGGTACGCCTCCATCAACACGCATCTTGGAATCGGTGAGCCCATGGGTGGTGGGGTCTCCTGTGCCCCTGCTCACTAGGATGCCTTGGGCACATCCATCTCTTGGCTCAGGGAAGGGGCAGCCTCCTGGGGGAACCCTGGGAGTGGTCAGCATGTTTGGCATAGAGGCTGTCATCAGTGCTTTGTGGCAAAGGCTGGTTCTCCAGACTCTCGAAAACCCTCTGTGAGGTGTGGTGGGGGCAGGTGAATGATTGTTTGGGCTTTTTGACAGTCCTTGTAACGTCAGGGTCACTCATCCAAGGGTGTCACAGTTTCCTAAGGGCACATCAGGGACAGCTGCTGGTGAAACAAAGAATCCAAGAATATTTTTCTGTGGTTTCAAAAGTTCATTTTTACAGTAAGGGTGTGTCTGGGCTCGGCACTGTGGCTGCAGGCACACACATGCTGCCCTTGACCTGTTTCCCATCTTTTTCCAGAACAATCTCGAAGAGATGACCTGGAGTCACTGGGCTATGTGCTCATGTACTTCAATCTGGGCTCTCTGCCCTGGCAGGGGCTGAAGGCAGCCACCAAGAGGCAGAAGTATGAACGCATCAGTGAGAAGAAGATGTCCACCCCCATTGAAGTGCTGTGTAAAAGCTACCCCTGTGCGTGTCCTCGAGTGCAGGCGCCGGGCCAGCCCGTGGTCTCCAGGGTCAGGGAGGGCACTGGGAGCCAAAAGAAGGCATGCCCCCTGAGGCCAAGTCCCAGACAGCGAAGAGTGGGTCAGTGGCCTGTCCTTGAGCTGGCGGCAGCCTTCTGTCCCCAGCGCGCATTTACCTTCCGGGGCTATGACCCAGGGAGTTTCCCTTTGTTCCTGTGGAGAAATGCCCCAGCTGGAAGTAAGCTGTGCTCTGTGGTGCTGGGTTTCCTTAAACGAAGGTTCCTCCCAACGTGACCAGTGTTTGTGATGCCACGTCTCCCGTCTTAAGTGTGCGACCATGGATGTTGGCAGTAATGTCAGTGGACAGGCGGTCAGGTATTGCTAGTTAGCGCTGAGTCTCTTGTTTTACAGCTGAGTTTGCCACATACCTGAATTTCTGCCGCTCCTTGCGTTTTGACGACAAGCCCGACTACTCCTACCTGAGGCAGCTCTTCAGGAATCTTTTCCACCGCCAGGGCTTCTCCTATGACTACGTGTTCGACTGGAACATGCTCAAATTTGTAAGTGTGCCACCAGCTCATTTACATCATGGTATGGAAGGGGAAACAGCCGGTCAGCCAGAGGCCTCCGCTGGACGAGGTGCAGGCTTTAGAAGGCACATGCGCTGCATTGGGGGAGCCGAGCGTACCTGTGAGGGCTGTGGCCTAGGTGGGGTCCACCATGGGCGGGAGGTTCTGAGAAGCAAGTTACCCATCGGGAGAGCAGAGGCGGGCACCTGGTCAGTGCTGGGCCCCCTGGAGTCAGCAGAGGATTTCTCGCAGGTGCAAGTCTGCCCAGAACCAAGGCTGTTACTTGAGTGATAAATCTTTAATTGGAAGGTCCTTCTATTATCACCGTCCACGTGGCTAAGAGCACCGTGGTTGTGACTGCCTGTGATGTTGAGGCACGGGTCCAGAGAGCGAGTTGTGCGGGAGGGTATGGCCAAGGGCTTCAGCAAGGTGCAGTCCCATCTTGCCCCTCCTCCTTCTGACGCAGCAGTGCAGGTGAGCGAACGGGTGGGTGCCTGGAGAGGTGCTAGACTGTCACTGACTTTGGTACCTGGCTTATCAAATGAGCACAGGTGTTTGCGTGTGACTGTGTGTAGAACTTGAGCTCTGATGTTTTTCTTCTCTAAATCTGTCCGCCCACCCTGAATCTCTTATATGAACCTAATTAATTAATTTTCAGACACTGTTGCCAGAAAGTTTCAGGGTTTTTTGAAACTTCATCTTTTGTTACAAATTTGTTCTCCTTAGTTACAAACTTAAAACAGAAATTGGAACCTTTCCAAGGTAACAAGATCTGACGGAGGAGCAGAACCTCCTCTTTGGAGGGCATAAGACAGGCAGACTGGTCCTGTGGCCTTGGCACGTGCAGAGGTGATGCCCCACAGGGGAGATGGGTGCCCCACAGTGGGCTGGCTCAGGATGCACCACCCCACATCGCCCAGAGTCTGGGCCATCTTCTGGCATCATCCCCCTCCCAGCGGGGCTGGCTACCCTTCTCTGGGAAGGGCCGGAGAATGAGTCATGTCCGCTTGGCAGTGTGTGCCTGGTGGTCCAAGCACTGAGCTCTGCGCTGCCGCTGGGAAGCTGCCACAGGCGCTGTGTGTCGTAGGTGGGTGTGGCTGCAGCTGAAAAACTTCATTTACAGAAACTGGTGGCTGGAGTTGGCCTGTGGGCTGCCTTTTGCAGACTGCGTTACAGCACCATTTGTTACAACATGGCGGGTTTTGCACCCCCTACTCCTCTGGTTCATCAGTCACTGAGTATAACTAGCTGTTTGTGCTGGGAGCACAGCCAGTGAAGTGGTGGCCTCCGTGTGGGCCTTCCAGGACAGACCTGGCTGCCTGCATTCTTGTCACATGGGCGCTGGCCCAACATGTGCCCTGGGGCTGGCAGTCTGGGCTCTGGCTGGGCCCGCTGCCCACCAGACGCCACTGCTTCCGCGTGCCTCTGGGATCCCCTGGACACCAGCACATCAGGCCTGCCGCTGACCTGACCTCCTGCGATTTCTCACCCCTGTGTGGATGCTCAGTGGGGAGAGGCCACCCAGTTCCCATCCGTGTTTGGAGTTCGGTGTCAGGGACACCTCGTGTGTGCGCTCACAGAGTCTAGGGGCAGGCTGCTGTCCTAGAGGGAGAGCCGCCTCATCCCGGCCGGCTGCGTTGCTGCGGAGGGCTTCTCTAGCTGCGGGTCCAAGTGCGCCTGGTGTGTTCTGGAGTCGCAGGGGACAGCCTGTTTCCACCAAACCCCGTTCAGTCTGGTCTTACCCTGTTTCCTTCGCAGGGAGCCAGCCGGGCCGCTGATGATGCTGAGCGGGAGCGCCGGGACCGAGAGGAGCGGCTGAGGCACTCCCGAAACCCCGCCGCCCGCGGCCTCCCCTCCACGGCCTCTGGCCGCCTGCGGGGCACCCAGGAAGTGGCTCCTCCCACCCCCCTCACCCCTACCTCACACACTGGTGAGTGGGCGAGCACCACTTCTCCTCAGCAGGCACTTGGGGGTTTCTGGTTTGTATGTTGGCTGCTCTGGCTGAGCTGCAGGGCCCCATGCGGGTCCAGGTGGGCGCACCTCGTGGGCGAGGCTGTGTGCCTGTGGTTCTGGTAGACTCTAGTTTCTGAGGATTGGCCAGCCCGGGGACGTCTCTTGCACAGGACTTGGAAGGCCCTGTCACCGTTGTTTCTCTTTCTCGTGACTCCGAGTGCTCCCTCGGAGGCTCTCAGTACCTGGTGCTTTGCTCCCAGGAAGGCCCGCCTGGAGCCAGCACGCTGGCATCCCTGAGTGCTCCGTGCGCTCTGCCCACCACTACTGAGCTCAGATTCAGGGTGCAAGCCGGCCAGGGTGCAGCAGCACCCACCTCTCTGGTCGTGGATGCTGAGGAGAGGCCCCCTCACACCGGGTACGGGGCTGCCCCAAGCCCTCACCCTCGCCCCTGTCTCCCCCTCCAGCTAACACCTCTCCTCGGCCCGTGTCTGGTGTGGAAAGAGAGCGGAAAGTGAGTATGCGGCTGCACCGTGGCGCTCCCGTCAACATCTCGTCCTCTGATCTCACGGGCCGGCAAGACACCTCCCGCATGTCCACCTCACAGGTACGTGCACCGCACGGGTACGCGCTCTGGGCTCGCTGAGGTCGGGCTGCTGCAGGCCTTGGGCCTCTCTGTGTTGGGGCTGCTCTTGGAGCGCCAAGCCAAGTGGGTGCTGACGAGCTTGCTGCTTCTTTCCTTCCTCCTCCATTTCTGAGTTTTAACTGGAGAGGGACACTGCCTCTTGCTGCCGTGCAGCCCCTGGGTTGGGAGCCCAAGGCGGACGAGAGCTTGTCTCCCCAGCCGCGGGTACAGGTGATGGGGCTTTTTTTCTTCTGCTGCCTTCCTCGCAGCCCCAGCTCCATCCCTGAGCCAGCCCTGGACGCTGGGCTGCCTTGCCATGCAGACTGGAAACGCCACATCTCACACCACGTGTTTGTCATGGGCACACAGCCCGTGGGGGGACTGCTAGCGGCCCCTGTAAGGTGGTGTGGACGCGCCTGTTGGAGCCTGGCGCCAGGCAGTGTGCCGCGAGGGAGGGTTCCTGTCTTCGGAAGTCCCTGTCTGCTTGTCTTCTGACAAGGCAGGTGTCCTCAGGGAAATGGCTGGGCCACATGAGGCCCCTCCGCTCACATCCTGCTCTTCTCTCTGTGGCTTTGGTGCCGTGGCTCTTGTGCATTCACTCACGTGCCCTCCACAGATGAGCTCTTCGCACGCACATGGACTTTCTTCCTCGGGTACCTTTCAGGGTCCTCTTGTGCGAGTGGCAGTGGGGTCAGAGGGTAGAGCACCCACCTGAGCAGGACGTTGTTCCTGTCTCTGCTGGGGTCCTCTGGGTGCCTGTGCCCTGTGGTGTCTGCTGGGTGGCAGGCACTGGTTGAGGAAGGCTCTGGAGTGCTGGACTGTTCTCAGGCCTCTCGTGGCTGGGTTAGCACTGGGCCGTGCTGTGGGCACACGCTTGGGGCTCGGTGTAGCTTATTGGTGGATTGGTGGGTCGAGCACCTTGCCTAGGGGAGTGCGGGGTCTGTGAGAACTGCTTGGAACCCCAGTTCTGCGGTGTCTGCTTGGTCTGTGCCCAGGAGGCAGAGGGAGTATCCTGACCTTTGCTTTTAATCAAGTGAAGTGGATAGTTTCACTATAAACACGTCCAGTTTATCAGTAGTTCTGCCAGAAATGGGTTGTTTCTGTATAAGTCTCTCCCAGAGAGACTTAGGGTGCAGATAGTTTGAGTTGTGGGGCCCGGGGAGTCTGGCCAGGGTTATGAGATTGGGCCCACTGTGGCTCCCAGCCCCACACCCCTCCTCCCTCCCGCGGGACACAGAGAGGGCTCCAGGCTTCTTCCCACAGGCCCCGGAATCCATGAATCAGCAGCAGAGGAAGCGGTCCTGGGCGATGTGTGCCCACGCGTGGCCGAGAGTACAAGCTTGCGGCCTGCTCTGGGTCTGTGGACGCCCCAGGCTCTGTCTGGACTCTGGACCCACAGCCTGGGCCTCCGCCAGCAGAGATTAAGGAAGGAGCAAACTCTCTTTGTGAGAAAAGAAAGTGCCTGAAGGGTTTGGGACCCCTGAGGGAAAGGAAAGGATTGGAGAGCCTGCGACCCTTGGGCTGAGCCCAGCTCCTCCTCTGCGGCGTGTCCAGCCTCAGCCCACACTCCCCAGGAGCCTTGCCCTGAGGTCCTGGCTGGGACCAGCTTGCCACTGGGAGTCCCGCGTGTTTGTTCTTTTGTCTTTGCTTGTGAAGAAGCCGCGGGGCTTGACAGGAGGAAGGAGTCTCCAGAGATGTGATTTGCGGTTTCCCCCTCCTCCTGAAAGGAGCATTGGTCACCCTAGAGGGTTTCTTAGGATCTTCACGTTGAGGACACAGTTCCTGGAAGTGTGTCCTCGATGCAGCCCCGTCCCGTGGATGTCCTTCCCTGGGGTTTCCTGATCACCCGCCAGCGCCCTTCCTTAGGGGACTCTGCGAGAGGCTTCTGCCTTCCGAGGGGTGACAAGCACCCTGCAGGACAGCAAGAGACTGACCCCCATGTCTGCCTTGGTGGTTTAGAAGTTCCAGAGCAAGGGCAGTTGCCCCAGCTTCTACGATTCTTCAGGTTCCATTCACATTTCCCCCAAAGACAGTGGGGTGAAGGTAGACCGGTGATGCTTCTGTAAAGCAAGGGTGGCCCTGTCCCCCCCTGGGGCTGAGGCCGTGTTCCGCCAGCTTCCCCCGTGGCTGCTGTTTCTGTCTCAGTTCTCTGTGCACGCTGAGGAGAGGCTGTGTCCTGTGCAGAGGTAGCAAGTCCAAGGAAGTAGTTGATCTTCAGCAGGAAGGTGCTCGAGCCGCCAGCCCGCCTGTGGGAGGACCCTGCTGACTCTCCAGCTGGCCACGGGGAGGGGCCGTTGACACCTGTGTCCTTTGTCCTGAGCCCCCTGCCATGGCGCACTCCGACTTCCAGGAGGGTGGCCGCTCCTCTGCCCGACTCCCTTCTCGAGGGCGGCTCGTGCTAGCGCACAGTGCCCTCACTACCGACCCGGAGTGTGAGTCCGGCTTCTCAAGCAGAGCAGCACGGAGCCCAGAGAGCATCCGGTCAGTGAACCTTTCTGCGGGTTTTTTTTCTCTGAGAAGAAAAGGCCTCCTGGGTCCAGTGCTGTTAATAGGATGCGTCGCGGTCTCTGAGCCAGTTACTCCTTTCGGTTTGTTGGTTTTCATGCTCCCGAAACAAGACCTGCAGCCCTTCCGTCTTCCTCGTGGCCAGTCCGTGCGTCCTGGCGGGGCTGGATGTCAGGTTGGCTCACTGCCGGAGGAGTGAGGAGGCTGTGCCTGGCCCCTTGTTGGCCTCGTCAGCTGAGCGACCCAGAGGAGCAGCAGTGGCTGCCCTCGCCCGGGGGCCACTCGCCAGGTTCCTGGGGTCCCCTGTGAGGCAGCGCGGCCAGTGGTGGGCCTGGCTGAAGTGAGGTGAGGAAGGCCTCCGTGCTCGTGCCAGCAGAGCCCTTACCAACAGCTCTCTTTTCCCCCCACCTCAGAATAGCATTCCTTTCGAACACCACGGCAAGTAGCTGCACGTCTCCCCGTTGGAAGGCAGCACCGGGTGAGTGTGCTCATGTCGGGTCTCGTCAGACGGCAGGCACCGGGCGGGCGGGCGCTGACCACCCCTGCGTCCACCACAGGGGTGCGCAGGCGGGACTGGGCTTGCATGCCAGGTGCTGCAGGGAGAGAGACGTCCCTCCGCCCAGTGCTTCTCCTCGTGTGGATTCCAGAGCAGACCGGGAGTCCCCGAACGGGGCGGCCCCGGGACCCTGCGCACCGTGGGCTGGCCGTCGGCCCCACGGCGGCGTCTCAAGAGTCAGGGGCCTGTGGTGGGAGCAGGCGCCCAGGGCTCTGCACTTGCGCTTGGCTCCAGTGGCCCCGGGGCCGTAGGGCCGTCGAGCCGCCCGGCCCGGGGTCCGTTGTGCGGGGCGTGTGTCGTCTCGTGCTCAGCTGAGCGGGCCGTGCTTGGGGGGGGGCTCTTGCGCTCTCGCTGCGGGAGTCCTGGTGGGCTCTGCCGCCCTGGCTTGGTCACTCTCTCCTTTCGCATTGATTTCTGTCGTTTGTTTTTCTTTTCGAGCTCGGTCTCTGCTCAGCGTCCCATCCGTGCTGCCGTCTGTATTAACCCGTCACAGCCACAGCCGCCTGCTCCCCTGCAGTTGGCGCATGTCGGTCGGTGACACCGTGGCTCCTCCCGGCCGGGCCTTGCCGCCACCGGGCTCCGCGGTTCCCGCGTGACTTGCGTTCTCGGAGGCAGCTCGGTAGGAGCTGCTCCTCGCACCTCCCCCACGGGGAGCCCCAGTGTCCACCCGGCGCCTGGTCCCCGCTTTCAAAACACCAGGTCACTTTCCAGGAAGGAGAGCGGGGAGCAAGTACCTCTTCGAGCTTGGACTCTGTCTGGTCCGATCGTTCTCGGGCTTCTAGCTCCGTGGCCACCTGGCCTCCTCGCTTGCATGCCTCTTCTCCTTCCCCGTCTTTCTGTCACTCGTCCTGCTGAGCACGTGTCCTGGACGCACAGGGGCCGCCCGGAGTGGCTGGGGCGCGGGCGTCCAGAGTAGGGCCGGGCAGCGTCCCCGTCCCCTCGCCGTCACTGCTGTGTTGTGCCCGAGCCTGACTGGCCCCGTGCCTCTGGCCTCATGCTGACCTTCTCCTGTGCTTTGGCTCCGACAGATTGCCGGTCGGGTGGCTTCCAGTGCTCTTCAGTCTGTGGTGCACCGATGAGAACTCTCCTTTTTGCTGTGAAGGGCAGACAATGCATGGCTGATCTACTCTGTTACAATGGCTTTACTAGTGACACGCCCCCCGGTCTAGAACCGAAATGTTAACACCGGGAGCTCTCCAGGCCGCCCACCCAGCGACGCCCGTGGGGGAAACAAAACACAAACTAAACCGGACAGACTCCAAAGCGCTGCCGTCGCAGGGGCTGCACCGAGGGCCCCCCACGTGGACTCGGTTGTCACGGGCTGGGAAGAAAAGCAGAGTGTGAGAGACAATTGCAGAGAGAACCAAACTCCCGCTCCCTGCTCCCTGACGAGCCTACTGTAACCACCGATCTTCTACTTGGTTAAGACAGTTTTGTATCATTTTGCTAAAAATTACTGGCTTAAATCTGTGTAATGAAATCTGTCTTTTTATTGTTTCTTTCTCGTCTGTTTTTGCGGTCTTAAAACAGATGTTGACTTTAAAGCACCCAGAGCAAAGGCTGGTGTGGAGTTTCAGTGTAGGACAGAGCGAGTCAGGGAGCAGAGCGCGCGCGGGCGCCCGTCCTCTGCTTTGTGGTCTGTCGTGTGATCCGCTGTGGAGAGGGGTTTTCTCACCAGAAGTGCTGTCCTGTGTAGACGTGTGTAAGTGACGTGTGTGCGTCTGTGTGTGTGTTGTGTGCCGTGTGTCCCGTGGCCTCATTACGCTGGTGTCGGCTCTCACTGTCCCCCACCTGCACCGGAACGCCTGCGCGACGCGGGCCTCAGAGCAGTTAGCGGGCACGGCGTACCCGATTCCCCTGGATGCGGCGAGGAGGAACCCGAGCACGGAAGACCTCGGAAGCCAAGGCTTTGTGTGGGCGTTGCTGGTCCCTCAGGAGAGTATTTTCGAACAGAGAGACATCGGGCCTTTCCTTGGGGTCACGTGTGGCTATTTTGGTGGTGGTGTTGCCTCAGTGTCTTTGAATTTGGGAAATTTTCTAAACAGACTGTAAACGTGATCAGTGTAGATTGGCCTCCATGTGTATGAACCTGTGTGCTCGGAACCCAGGACGTGTCTGCACTGTGCTGGGCTCGCCCGCGGAGGCCTTGGGCCCAAGGGGATCCGCCTTGAAGTGCCAAGAAGCTGGTGACTCGACCTGGCCGTCTAGGAGGGTGTGGCGTCCCACACTTCCCTCCACAACCTTCACTGGGGCGTAGCGAGCCCCACGGGGGTCAGGGAGCAGAGCAGGTCGGAGTCTCTCAAGTATGACCCTCTCGGGGCTGCTGGCTCCTGCCGGTTTTTCCGGGTGCCCCCTCATTCTGTAGCAGGTAGCGGCACCGGGCCACGAGGCTGCCAGTAGCTGGGAGCCCCCGTTGTGGGAAACAAGGTGCAATAATGGGTATTCGTGGGTACTCCCACCTGACCACCTGTCACCCCACTGCGAGTGCTGTGTGTGCCCCCAGGCCGCTGGCACAGGACGCCGGGACTGGTGTGTGCTGACCGCGCGGAGTGCGTCCGTGCTGCTTCGTGAGTCCCAAGCGGGCTACTCTTTTGGGGTGCAGGCACTTGGTCAGATGGGGCTGTGTTTCTGGGAGAGCAGTGTGAGCCTGGGCAGGTCAGGGCGAGTTGGGGGCTCTTCAGAGCGGGGCTTGCCCCTGTTGGCGAGGTGTTAGCAGCTGCAGCCGCCCATGGAGTGCCGGAGACCCGCTAGGGGCAGCTTCCCACGCTCTGCATCTGGGCTTCGACCTGAAATTGCTGGATTGTGTTTGAGAGGTGGGCCCAGATCCTGGGCCCTCAGCTGTGCGGCCGTCCGTCCGTCCGTGCACACTCGCTGCCCTCCCACTGCAGGAAATGTAGTTGCAACGTCTGTATCAACCTGTGTATTGGTGGCCAGTCTCTGACTCGGCACGTTTGTGTGATCACTGCATTTATGTGCTTACCCACCGTGTAAATAATAAACCCGTGATGACTTTTACCTTTCCTCCCCGCCCTCCACTGCTCTTTATTTCACAGAGAGGTGTCTGTGTGTAGGTCAACCACGTGAAAACTGATTTCCTGAGAAGGGGCGTTGCTGTCTGTGTGGGGCCCGTCAGCGCCGTCTGTCAGCTGGTCGGCAGCAGGCCACAGGGACGGGCCGCCACTCCCCGGGCGACACAGTGCAGCCGTGCCCACGCGCCAGTCCACGTGGGTCTTCTGGAGACACCCCCCCCCCCCCCGGGCTTAACCACCTTCACGAGGCTGGCGCCGAGCTCTGTGGCCCCCGGGGCAGCCCAGGAAGGAATACTGCCACCTGCCTGGAGTTTTCTGGGGAGTGAGCAGCGTGAGAGCTGGCGTGCCTGCTGCCACTGAGGGGCGCGCATGGTTCTTGCGAGGTGGCACCCAGGGGCCTCTGCCCGACCAGGGGGCTCAGGCCTGTCAGCCTCAATCCCTCTGAGGGGCCACTGCTCAAACCCTGTGCCCGGGGCTCTGCCCTCTGCCCCTCCTCACCCCGCCACTGCCCCCAACCCCCCAGCTCCGTGGGCCTTCTGATCAGCCGACGGCTCCCAGGTGGGCCCCTCCCTTTGTTGTGCTCGGGGCCTCAGCTTGCTTCTCCCGCGTGAGCTGTTGAAGCCCTTGAGTCCCTGACCCCACTGCACAAGAAGATGGGCTGGCCTGTGGTGTGCCCCAGGAGCCAGCTGCTCTGGGCCTGTAATCTGGCCCTTCCTGCTCCGGGGCCCTGGGGGTGTCCTGCAGGGTGTGGGCCCAAAGTCCCTGCTCTCCGGCTGGGCTCTTCTTGACCCTCACCCCTCCTCGTTCAGCTGCCAGCATTGGGAAGGCAACACTCGGACTCCTTGCTGCTTACCCCAGCTGCCCGCCCTTGCCCCCAACCAGAGTGGCAGTGACACAAGCCCTGGGCCGTCCTCTGTTCTGTTCTGCCAGGAGGGGGCTGCAGCAGGGCGGGGACCACCGCACTGCCTTCTCCCCGGAGCCTCTGTGGCCCGTTCCTCACTCCCTCGGTGCTCAGAGACGTGTGCCAGCTGCCCCCACCTCCCTGACCCGGGGCTCAGCACTCCGCTCCCTGCACCCCCTACAGACTTCACCCCCACTGAGAGGGCTATCGGGAGCCCAATCCTGGAAACCCCCACATCTGTCCTTTGTCCTACTCCTAGCTCCGCCCAGCAGGACCTCTGGAAGCAGCGCCCTCCGTTGCCACACACCTGTAGAGGTGTTTTAGGTCCCGGGGGAGTGTCCACCACGGCATATGTCCTCCAGGCCACAGTTTGTTTATTTTTTCATTTTTTTCAAAGATTTTATTTATTTGAGAGAGAAAGAGAGAGAAAGCACGAGTAGTGTGAGAAGCAGAGGGAGAAGCAGGCTCCCCTCTGAGCAGGGGGGGGCCCGATGCAGGCCCAGGACCCCGGGACCGTGACCAGAGCAGATGCTTAACCCGCTGAGCCCCTCAGGTGCCCCCAGGCCACCGTTTAGATCCTGGAAAGAACTGGGCCCAGGACCCCCAATAGTGGGCCCCGCAGGTCCTGGGCATCTGCCTCCCAAATTGTCACTGGCAGACCCTCCCCCCCCACCCCGGCACCCCCAGTTTGAGGCCCATGTGCGTATGCCAGGGTCTTCCCCGCACAGGCCCCTCCCTGTGCGTGCCTGTGGGAGGTGGACCCAGGTCTAACCAGGCTAGAGGCCAGCAGCCCGGGGTGATTTGGGGTGATGTGTGCAGGCCCTGCCAGGAGGGGCCGAGGGGGCGCGGCAGAGGCACCTGCATCCCTTGGGAGGGTGGGCTTCCAGGGTGCTGGCCGTGAGCCTCCTCTGGCAGGGAGCTCCGGAGGGTGAGGGACCACCCCACCCATGGCCGCCCAAGTGCTGACTGCTCTGGGCTCCTGTAAGGGAGGGGCCTCAGCCCTCGGTGGCCACCGCTTCCTGAGGACAGCAAGTTTTCCTTTCTCCCATGTCCAGCCCAGCCCGGAACATCTGCAGTCCAAACCTAGGCAGACAAGACTGCCTGCTTACCCTCGGGCCTTGAACCCCAGCCTCCAGTTGTTGATGGCTGTGGTGGGCAGGGGCCTTCAGCCCACCTAGCATGTCCACTGAGGGGCCAGCTAAGGGAAAGACGGGCCCTTGTTCCCAAGGCCAAAGGAGGGTGGCAAAACTCTTGCTCACCTGGGAGCATGTGCGTGCATGCGTGTGCGCCTGGTCCCAGGCCCCCAGTGCATCCTGCCCAACTGGAGCAACGCTGATAAGCTGGCCATCCTACAGCTACTTCATATGAAGTGTCCCCGGAGCAGGACTGGTCCTCACGTCCAGCGAGGACGCACGCTGCCCTTGCTCCGGGCCAGCAGCAGGGAAGCAGTTTAGGGTGAGAGTCGGGGACACTGCAGTGTGAGGCCCAGGAAGCCTGGGCAGCGTCACGTGCCAGCAGCAGCCGGGGGCCCCGCCAGGCTCCCCCTGACGCAGGTTGAGGGCAGGAGATGCAGAGCTAGCACCAACACAGCCCAGGGCCCCGGGGCTTCGGGCCAGCACCCCAGGAAGGTGCCTGGTTCCTCTGCACAGCTTGATGGGCAGATGGAGAAGGGACTGCGGCACCCCCGCGGGGGTGGCACCTCTGGGACGGACAAGATGTGAGCTTTCACTTGCTTTTCATTGCAGAGGAGCAGGGACGTGGCATCTCTCCGGCTGCACGTGGCCCGCCAGGGTGCCCGCTGCCGTCCCCAGCGCCCGCGACGCACCACCTACTGAGGCGGCCCCAGCGGCCTCTGACCGGGCTCCCAGCCACGCAGGCCACCACTGGCCACGAGGGCAGGTGGGTGTGAGGTACCCGGGGCGAGGCCGAGCAGGGCTGGACAAGGACGGGAGCAGATGCCCGCCCTGGGCGCTCACCGCATAGGGCCACAATCAGCCGACCAAGGGGTGAATAAATGGAAGGCAGGAAGATCATTTTCTTTAAACACACACACACAGTGAACAAGAATCACACATATGTCTCAGCTTAAGTGCACACACCCGTAGGGGTTCCCGGGCATGCCCCACCCCTGCAGCAGGGCCCTGTGAGGACACTCTGAGCCGTCGGGGTCCCCGCAGAGAAGGGTCCAGAACCAGCAGCGCTTAGGAGGCTGACCCGGCCCAGAGCCACTTTGTAGAAATGACCAGGTTGTCTGGCAGAAGTGAGTTTGGAGTGAACGGTCAGACACCCCCCCGCGCCCCCCTGCCAGCTCCTTGAAGATGTTCCTTCCAAGGTGGCTCCTCCCACACGCAGGTTTATTTCAGGGGTGAAGGAAGGGAGTCTTGTGCCCTATACACCCCGTGAGGGGTGGGCTGGGGCGCCGCAGTGGAGACGGGGTGGGACGGGGCGCAGCCAGCATGTGGGGAGGCGGTGCTGCTCCACTGGCCCTCCCCAGCCCCCCTGATTCCGGGCGTGTTGTCTCTGAAGCGTGGGTTTCCAGGTCCCTGAGCTCAGCGGTGGGCACCGGGCTGCTCTGGGGTCAGCAGGCTGGGTCCCTGGTGCAGACGGCTCGTAACCTCGCGGCGCGGCTTCACCACAGACCTGCTTTGGAATGACACGGTTCCCACCCCACCGCCTCCCCAGAGAAACACGGATGGCCCCGCCCCAGCTCGTCCTGTTTGTGAAATAAACACAAGCGTTGGAAGTGTCTGTCCGGTTCCGTGAGCCCCCACTGGCCGCCTCGGCTCAGACGCTCGTCTCCGGGGTGTGAATGACCTCCCCGTTTTTCTCAGGCTCTGCTTTCAGGAAGTGCTCTACCTCCCGAGAGTCCACCCTCACGTCCGCAGGGGGCTTGTGGCACTGCTCCTCCTCCGCCACCGCCGCCACCACCTCGGGCCTCTTCCTAATGCACAAGAAGTTGCCCAGCACCAGCACGAGGGAGGCAGTCAGCACCTCGGCCCCCGCCAGGATAAACACGTACTGGTAGACGTGCGTCGCATCCAAGAGCTTGCCTGCAGAGGAGGGACCGTGTTGGCTGGGCTGAAGGTCGCCCCCGGTCACCAGCTGCCTGTGCACACTGTGCTGCTGGGGGACCCTGACCTGACCTGGACCCCCCCACTCCTGCAGGCAGCACAGAGCCAGAGGCTCAGAGGAGGTTTTGGAGCTATGTGGGTGCAGGAGGCAGAGTGTCAGGGTGAGGTAGCCGGCCACGCTGCCTGTCACCGTGGAGGCCTCTTCACTGTGCCCTCACGGAAGCTGCCCAGGCCCTAGAAGGGCCCCAGGACCACAGAGCACAGCCCTGGCGCTCTTGGGGTCCCCTGGGTGGGAGCCCACGGCATCTGCTGGAGAGACCCTGGCCGGGCTGCCCCCCTGGCCCACACTGTGTAAAATCACACCCTGGGATATCCTCAGCCTTCACCAAGGAGAGCAAAAGCCTGACCCCCACCCTGGCTCTGAGCCGGCCGGTGTGCGGGGTAAGCAGCACCCTCAGGATTCTCGCACACGCCTGGGCCCCTTCCTGCGGGGGACTAAGCAGGTTCCTGGAGGCTCCTGACACCTGCTGGCTGTGAGCTGGGCCCTCCCAAGGTGGGCCCCCCTCCCCAAGAAGGCTCGCTGCCTGCTGCCCTCCCCTCACTCACCTCCCGATGGCGGCCCAATGAGCACGGCGATGGCCTCCAGCAGCAGCACAAGGCCAATGGCGCTCGAGAACTTCTGGGTGCCCACGATCGCCATGAGTACCTCAAACTGCAAGGCCCCCACCATGCCGTAGGAGATGCCGAAGAAGATGCAGAAGACCACCAGGCCTCCGTAGTCGCTGGCTGTGGATCCGGTGAGGTCCGTGAAGCCATTGAAGAACATGGAGAAGCTGAAGAGGTAGACGGAGTAGGGCCGCACCTTTTTAAGGCCCGTGATGAAGCCAGCAGTGGGCCGGGCGAAGATGTCGATGAAGCCCAGCACGGTGAGCAGGAAGGCAGCCTGCGTGTCGGGCACACCCAGGTCCTTGGCGTAGCTCACCACAAACACGGGAGGCACAAAGAGCCCCAGCACCATGATGGAGGCGGCCACCGCGTAGATGAGGAAGCCACGGTCCCTGAAGACGCTCAGGTCCAGCAGCCGCCGGGACGGCCGCTGGGGCACGGGCCCCGACCCGGGCACCGGCGCCTCCAGGGGCCTCATGAGCGCGGCGCACACGCAGCAGTTGAGCAGAAGGCCCCCCAAGATGAGGAAGCCTCCCCGCCAGCCATAGTGGTCCTGCAGCAGCTGCCCCAGCGGGGACAAGGCACACAGGAACACAGGGCTGCCCGCGGCCGCCAGCCCGTTGGCCATGGGGCGCCTCTTGTTAAAGTAGCGGTTGAGCATGATGAGTGACGGCTGGAAGTTGAGCGCCAAGCCCAAGCCTGCAGGAGGGGCGGGCAGGTGAGGCGTCGACCAGCCCCCAGCCCCTCGTCCCTGTCCCGTTTTCCTCCCCAAATGGTTCTACGTGGGGGTCTCCGGGTGTCCCTGTGGGGGGCCTGGTGTGTGTCCAAAGCCCCTGTCAGATGAGGAACAAGGGACAGACCGGCGCGAGGGACAGCCCACGGCCACCTGCTCCTCATAGGCCCTGCCCCGGGCACACTGCCCCAGTACGCCTGAGGAGCCAGCCATGGCCTGCCCCGCTCCCGGCTGGGCCCCACTCACCGGTGATGACCCCTGTGGTGAGGTAGAGCTGGATGATGCTTCTGCAGAAGGACGCGGCCACCATGCCCAGGGACGCCAAGAGGCCACCCATGAGCATGACAGGCCGGCAGCCAAAGCGGTTCACGCACACACTGCAGAGTGGGCCTGTGGGGGGGAGTGGGGGTCAGGGTACAGGGCAGGGCCAGCCTCCCCACACTCACCCAGGGACCTGGCCCCCAGCCCAGCTCAGCAGACGCACCAGGCGCTCAGGGTGCAAGTCACACTCAGAGGCCTGCCCGAGCACAGCATGGTTCACAGTGGAATGTCCTAGATGCACGTGGCCTGTGCCCGGTTTGGCCCGATGGGGAGCCACGGCCGCTCCAGGGCTGTACTCCAGGCTCCCCGGAACAGGGGCTGCAGGTACCCGATGCTCCAGCCCCCCACCCCCAGGCCTTCCTGGAGCTCCTAACCAGAACTGCACTTGGTGACCTCCCGAGGTGACCACCGGACGTGACCGCCCCTTACCTGTCCCATACAACATGGCCAGCAGGATGGAAGAGATCCAAGCCGTGTCACTGTAGCCGATACCAAACTCACGCATGAGTTCCTTGAAGAAGACGCTGACCGCCTTGGGGAAGGCGTAGGAGAAGCCCGTGATGACGAAGCAGCCGAAGAGGACGGCCCAGCCCCAGCCGCCGTCAGGGGCCCTGATGCCCGTGGGGCCCTCATCGACCACGGCACCACCCATGGCCAGGAGGGCGGGTCGTGCGTCCCTGAGGAAGGAAGTCAGGCTGACTCAATCGTGCGGCCTCGGCCACCGCGGGGCCCCCGCTGCCCCCCCACCTGAGAGCCCCGCCCCCGGCCCTCACCTGCGCCCCTCACCTGGGCCCGGGATGGAGGGTCTGGGCGGACCAGCAGCTGCAGCCCTTCCTCCCTGCTTCCCGCTCAGGCCTGGCCTGCTCACACCCAGCTGGCTCTAAAGGGCAGTGGCTTTTTTGGGCTCAGCAAGGTCTCAGGTTACCTCCTGAGGAGGACAGACCCCAGTGGGGACGTCAGCCCAGCCCAGCCTCCTCCCCGCTGACCCCATGTGGGGGAGCAGCCTGTACTTCCCACCCCCTGCGAGCAGGTCCTGTGACGGGGCGTGGGGTGGTGTCCCTCGAGACCTCAGCTAGACGTGTCCAGCCGTGCTCGCCCACCCCCAAGGAACAGGGCTCCCGTGGTCACACCGCACCCCGAGTGACAGCCTGAGGACGGGGCGGGGGGGGGGTGGCGCACTCCCAGGCTTGGCTGTGCGGGCTGGCAGGCTGGGAAGTGGACAGTCCGTGCCGCAGAGGTGGCCCCTGTGCCCTCTGGCCCCTCGCCGTGCCAGTGCTGGCTCCTCCCACCCGCTTATCCTCAGGCCGAGCTCCCACGAGAGCTGGGGGTGGTCTCTGCTGCTCAAGGAAGGGGAGACCCCGGGTGGGCAGGAGGGCCGAGTGAAGGGATAGGTGGGCAGCGCCGCCGCTTCCATGCCGCCCACTGGAGCAGCCCTCTCCGCCTCCGGGCTGCTAAGGCAGCCGTGCCCACTGTCGGCCCGAGACCCTGCAGCGGCCCCGGGCCCGCTTCCCTCCCAAACCCCCAACTTAGCCCCATTGAGGCCCAGCAGCTTGGAACGCTGGGACCGGATGTCCAGCCCAAGACCTTCCCCTCCCGACTTCGCCCCTCAACTCCTCCTCATCACTCACACAGAAAGCCCCTCACCCCACAGATCCGGCTGGTGGCCTGGTTCTCCCCACCTCACGGGACAGAGGCTGTTCCCTGTGTGGGCGGGGAGGGGGGCAGCCCCGGGGAGATCCCCTCGGGGAGAAACAAGCCCCCATGGGGAGCGCTGGCCCACACTGATGCCCAGGAGCGCCCCTGCCAGGCCCCTCACAGTCCCCGTGTCAGGCCTGCCTCCACCCCGTCCCCTTTCGGACACAGTCCTCGACCTTGACCTTGCGGAGCCCCTGGGTGGCGCGTTTGCGTATGTCGGGCGAGTCGGGGCATAGCCGGAACCTGGACAGGACTTTGGAGCGAGCACAGGGTCAGCGTGGGGGGGAATGACCCCCTCCCAGCATCGAGGCTGCACGTGAGCCCTGCCCTCTGGGGACCCTGACATGGCTGCCTGGGGGGCACCTGGATTCCCATTCAAGGGTGTGTTGTGTCCGGGCAGGGGAGTGATTTTGAAGACTCTCTGGGTGATTCCACGCGGCTGCTGCTGAGGAGGGGCGCCGTCTGAGGCCGGGGTCCCCAGGAGCCTGCTGGCTGCCAGGCCGGTGATGAGGCTGACACAGCCCAGTGGAGCAGCACACGGCGCCGGCCCCCCTGCACCCCTGCCCCGGGGGAACCCAGGAGAGCGCCCCCCCCAAGGCTCCCTACCATGCCCTTTGCCCACCCCCCACCCCCGCCCCGCCTGGCATCCCTGGAACCTGGGACGGGACTGTGCCGGGATCGTCTGGCCTCACCCCTGGGTCCTCTCCTCCAGGTCCCCCCTCACACTGCAGCCACGTGCCCGAGGCTGGGACGGGACACTACATGGGGCCGAATCCCGCCCCCAAAACACACTGGGTGGGTACAGCAAGCCACGGTATCCCTTCACCTCACTAGCGCCAAGCTTCAGAGGTCCCCAAGGTACACACAGCGGGGAAACTTAATAAAAAACCCAGAAAGTACATCTTAGGACTGTGTCATGATGCAGGGATACTGTCTAAGGCAGAAAGCACAAACCCCAGACGCAGGGCGGAGGACGGTGGGGGGCCGTTGTCCCCAGTGCTGGCTTGTTTGTGGTTGTGGGCTTACAGGCAGTCATTGATTTTTAAAAATACACCTAGTGAGCCGTGCGAAGGCCAAAGAGGGAAGTGTGCCTGAAACCCCAAAATAGGAGCCGCTCAGCTCTTTATACGCAGGGTCACAGAACCACCCGTGGCCCCCCTCTGAGATCTTGGCTGCCCCAGCCACACTCGCAGGGGAACGCCAGCCCCCACCTCTGCTGCCCACCAGGCCTGGGCCCGCCCTGGGGCTCCCGTGGTCTGTGTGGCTGCCACGGGAGGCACGGGGTGGGGGGCACAGTCCTCTCTCCCACCCACCCCTAGACTCCCCAGCGGCTCTTGAGACACCCCTCCCAGCTAGCCCCCAGCCTGGGGTGCCATGCCCCTCCCCGTCTGTGCCCCACACCAGCCAGTCCTCAAAGTGAGGTTTCTCAAAAGGGGGCAGGTGGGGCGTCTAGGTCTGCAGCAAAGGGGTTTTGCCGGGCCGTGCTCTGCCCACGTAGGGGGGCCGGGTAGAGAAGGGGTTGGGATTTCCAAGAACAACATGGCCTTGTCTGCCCAGCATGCCTTGGGGGAGGAAGGCCAGCAGAGGCGTAGACGGGGGTGTTCCCAGGAGAGCCCTACGGCGCCCATGACCCAGGACGGGGGGAGTGGCCCCCCTGGGTGCTGGTCAGGGACCCTCACCGCCGCGCGGGGGGACCTGGTGCCAGCACGTCTGTGGCGCACCCCCAGCCAGCTGGCCTCGTGATGACATTACCCTCCCGGGGAAGCATGCGAACCACGTCCCCAGCCCAGAAATAACCCGCCCTCTGGGCCTCAGAAAGCTGATCTCCCTGGTGGGGTGTGTGTGTGTGCCCGCTCCTGGGTCAGGTGAGGCTCCGGGAGCTGCCCCCCCCCCCCAATTTCCCGGAGGTCCCACCGCCCCAGGCAGCTGGTAACCGAGCAGAGGAAGGCCCAGGGAGGAACGTGCGAGGGGACCCCTCGGAATGCCCCGTGCAGCAGGCCACACGCCGGAGGGCCCACTGTGCTCTCCCCAGTCAAGGGCTTGTGCCAGCTTCTCCCTCAGGGTCCACTGGACTGTGGACCCCGGCCCCTGAGCCAGCCTGGCCTCCTGCCAGCCCCGTTCTCCAGCAGCATCTCCAGCATCTGCCCTCCCCCGTGCCCCCTCCTCTGCCCGCCCCACCCACCTGCGTCTCCACCTGGGGGGCCAGTGCAGAGCGCACGCAAGCAGCCCGACCCCTCACACCGCCGGCCTCGAGCCGCCCCACGTCTTCCTGCATCTGCCTGCCCCCTGCCTGCCCCCCCAGACCTCTGTGCCAGCGGTCCTCGCACCCACCTTGGGTCCTGGGTGTCTGGCCTGTCAGGTCCCCTAGGTTCAGTGTGCGGCCTATCCCAGGTGCTCCGCAGCTTCGCCTTCTGAGGAGCCTGGCCAGTTATCTAAGTAGACGTCCAGGCCTTGGAGACCAGCTCCGGGTGGGCGGGGCGTGAGGGGCAACGCATTCCTTCCTGCAGCTTCCTGCACCAGGAGGCCTGGGAGACTCGCCTGGGCACCAGAAACGCCTCATTGTGGCTAGCAGCTGGCTTCACCTGAGCCCACGTCCCGCGGCGTGAGGGGGTGCTGATGGACGTGAGAGCGCCTCCCTTCAGGGCAGGGAGGGCCTCCCGGGCCCCTTCCTTCCTCTCCCCACTGCCCTGTTGTGCAAACGGGCCACAGCTTATCCCGATGCCTTTGTCCGCCCGGGCTCAGACAGCGCCTCTGGTCAGCGTGCTTGTCCCCCTTCCCGGGCCGGCGCAGGGCCCCAGATGCCCCCACCGTGTGCAGAGCCGAGACTGCAGGGAGGAGACGTGGGCCTGGCCACTGCCCCAGCATGACCCAGGCCTGTTAAGCGCAGCCTGGGCCCCCGCTTCCATTGACCACGAAGCCCCCAAGGCACGTCTGGTTTTCTCAGAGCGCTCCTTGCAGTGGCCAGTGGAGCAAGAACGCTGGCCTCGTCTGTCAGACGACACCACACTGGGGCCAGCCCCCCTCCAACACTGTGCCCCCTGTGACAAGGACGGGGCCAGGGCCCTGTGGAGGGTCGTGGGCTCACCCTGTCAGGGCACCCTCCTCTAGAAGACTCCGCGGAACCAGGGAGCAGTAGAGGCTGGAGCAGGCCCCAGCAACCCCCAGCCCTGGACCCTGCCCATCACGTGGCCACGTCGTCCCTCCTCGACTGCCTGTAGCACGCCCCCCCCCAAGCCAGAGCGCTAAGGCCAAGGCCAGGGACGGGACGGGTCTGTGCATCCCAAGCCCTACTAGCCAGCAGGGGCCCCTCCCAACCCGCCCCACTGGCCGGGTGGGGGTCAGGCCGCCTTGGGCGGGCTGGAGGGGTGTGGGAAGGGAGCAAGCTCCGCCCGCCCCTGCCGCTGCTGCTTGGCCAGGGGACGTGGGGGACGTGACCGCGCCAAGGGAGGAGCCGCCGCCGTATTGCCTGGAGTAGGCGCTCTCCGCGGTCCGCTACCGTATAGGCGGCGCCCGGGGTCGGGGAGCCCCGGAGCAGCCCTGGGCGCCAGTGATCCCTTGGCCCCTCCCGCGGCCGAGCCCAGCCCACAGGGTGCACCCAGCTCCTCGACTCGACCGCGCCGGGCAAGGCCTCCCTGCACCGCCCGTTCCCCAGATGGGGCCGCGCCTGCCCGGGCAGCAGCGTGAGGAGCCCCAGCCTCTCCCATCCCACCGGAGGCCTGACCCGGAGGTGCCTCAGATGGACGGACCGGTCACTCTGTGAGGCAGGCGGCACCTGCTGGACTCCCAGCCCCCGAGGACCACTGGCCTGGGCACTGCCAGGACGTGCCCCGGGCCAAGTAGGGCCTGGCCGCAGGGACAGCACAGGCCCCCGTGACACACCCTGGCCACTGCCCGGGAGGGCACAAGCCCCCTTCTGTGGCTGCCCCTCCGCACTGAGAGGTTCTAGCGGGTGGGGGGGGGTTGGGGGTGTGTCAGGGCCAGGTTGACTCCGGGGCACCAGGCCCTGCCCAAGGTCACACCGTGTCAGGCACAGCCTGCCCTGGGCCCAGCCTCCCGCGGCCCATCCCAGGCTCGGCCCAGGCCCCTGGGCAGGGAGGCTGCTCACCTGCCCCAGCACTGCCAGGTGACTCCTGGAGCCCTCAGCAAGGCCTCCGTCACACTGCCCCCGACAGGCCACCCCTGTGTCTGTCTCCGAGCCTCTCCTGCCCAGTGTGCGCTTCTGACGTGCAGCACAGCGCCCTGGGATGGAAGGGTGCCGGCCTCTGGGCTACCCTCTGTCCCTCACCCGGATGCCCGGCAGCCCCGGGAGCCGTGACCGGACTGCTTCCCTTCCCCTCAGCCCAGCGGCCGCAGCCCAGCGGTCGCTCCAACACCCAGGAGCCTGTGTTGTCCGCCCATTTTTCAGATAAATAAACTGAGGCCCCGCCAGGTTTTCCCACGAGCCTGGCAGAGGGAGGGGCCCCCCTAACTGTCTGCCCCACGCCGGGCTGGGGACCGACACCCGAAGGTGAATGTGTTGGGGGGCTGGGAGGTGGGCGAGAAGCCGGAGGAGGTGAGGGAGACGCAGGGCCCCACCCGCCTGCGAGTCGCCCGGAGCACACGTGCAGCCCGCCCGGACGCTGCCCGCGCCCGGCTCTGAGCTCTTGCCACCCGCGAGCCTGCTCGGCTGCCCCCGGGCTGCCCCGCGCAGCCGCCTCCGGGCCAGAGCCCAACCCCGAGGGTCACCAGCTCGGGGCGCATGGGGTCGCGGGGGGGGGGGCGGCACGGGAGGGCATGGGGGCGCAGGGGCCACGGGAGGGCACGGGGTCGCAGGGGGGCATGGGAGGGCACGGGAGCATGGGGCGTGCAGGGGACACGGGAGCGCGGGGGGTACGGGGGGGGGCACAGGGGGCTCCCCGGGGCCCCTCGGGGCGGGGGGCGGTGGGGGGAGACCGGAGGGGAAGGGGCGAGGGTCCGGGGCCGCCCCGTCAGCATCCGCGCCGCGCCTACCTGCCGCTGGGCGCCGCGCTCGGTTGGCCTGGCTGCCGGCCCCTCGGAGCTCCGCCGCACGTCCCCCGCGCGTCACCGCCGCCTGGCACCGCCCCTGCCGCCCCGCCCGACCCCGTGCCGCGCGGGAGGGGCAGCTCCAGCCGGGCGAGGGACCCCGCCGGGGAGGGAGCTGCGCCTTCCCGCCGGCCGCTCCCCCTTCCTGCAAGCACGACCCGCGGGGCTCCGGCCTCCCCGCTCAGCTCTCCCTCCCCGCGCCCCTGGAGTCCCGCCGCACCCGAGCCTCGCTCCCTCCCGGACGCGGCCGGAGGGTCGTGGTGGGGCAGCCAGACGCTCCCAGCTGCCGTTTCCCCTGGGGCGCCCAGAGGGCCTGCGGGTGGCCGCCAGCCCGGGGTGCTCCGCATCCTGGCGGCTGGGATCCCAGCTGGTCCCAAGTGAGGTGCCTCTAGCCCCGTCCTCACCGGTCACCCGTCACCTGGGAAGGGCCAGCCCAAGTTTGAGGATGTGCGGGGAGCCAGGCCGGTGGTGGCGGCCTCCAGCCGGGAGCACAGGAGCACCTTCCAGCCTCCCACTCTGAAATGATGCTGCCGGTGTCCTGGACTACCGGGCACGCGGAGCCCACCGGGTGGGGGCAGAGTGACCCCTCCAGGGTAACGGGCAGTGGGGGGAGCAGCAGTACCGGCCTCCTGGCCATGCCCTGCGACCTCCTGAGATGCCCAGGCCACCGGGGCCTTCTGCCTTCTCTCTGGGATGCTGAGAGACCACACCCCACATGCCCCCCTGCTTGGGGCCCGACCACCATGGGAGGACCCCACACTCCCCACCAGTGATCGGAGGGGGTGCCCGGGATTCAGCCCTGTGCCTCTAGAAGGGAAGGGGCGTCGCACGTCCAGCTAGGAGAGCTGGGGGTGGTCAGCCAGGGCCACCGTGGTCCTGCAGGAGCCCTGAGGAGGGAGAGGACGGTCCCCCAGACCCAGAGCCCCTCAGTCGTGGTCTTCTGTGCGTGTGTGCCCTGGGGCCAACCTGCCTGGCCACCCAGAGCTGAGGTGGGGGCTGCCCCACTGTCGGGCACAGAGGGCAGGCCCATCAGGCACCCACTGGCCAGCCCCCGCTCTGCCGCCTGCAGAGCATTCAGGGCAGGGGCTTCGACGGGGGCTGGAGTGGAAGACTGGAGTGGAGGGGGCAGGGTGATGACAGCTGGTGTGTGGGGGACCAAGTGGCCCATAACCAGAGGACCATAACCAGGGGTGCCCAGCGCGGGAGAGCCTTGGTGGCCAGGCTCCATGCTGCACACAGCCCCACGGGTCCCCGTCAGCTTTGGGCTGAGCCCCCTCCCCTGCGATCCCCTGGACACTTCATTCCGCTAGGGTGGTGCCTTGTGCCCTGCAGCTCCCCGGGGCAGGGGCACCCACCCCAGGCCTGGCCCCACCACCTGTTCTGGGACGGTGGCCCTACAGCCCAGGCTGCCCTTTTCTGACGGAAGGGAGTGGAGGGCCGAGGAGGTGCAGCCACCCTGCCGAGGGGGTGGCTTTGCAGGACGGCCCTGTCCTGGGCGAGGGGCACTCCCCGGTGGCCTTATCTGTCCCTGGCCCTGCCTGGACTCCAAACCCTTGAATGGTTGCAAGTCACAGCTTTGGGCCCTGCAGCATGCTCTGAGGGCTCCAGGGCTGTCCCCAGCACACTGCCCGGCCAGCTGCAGCTCTCAGGGGACACACTCCACCTTTCTCAAGAGCTGCTCCGTCTGGAGATGGAGCGGAGGGGGGTGTCTGCTCAGGCACCGTCCGCAGCTCGTCGCAGCCCCATCCTCCCTGTGCGTCCAGGCGGAGGATGGGATGTGCCCAGGCCACCCGGGCTCTGCTGCCATCTCCAGAAATGACCTTGAACACCTGGAGGGACTGTTGAGGGCAGCGGCCACAGAGAGGGTGGAGGAGCGGCCACCCACCCGATGGACAGGACCAGGGCCAGGCCAGGCCAAGTAAAGGGAGCCAAGTCACATGACAGACATCTGGGCGGACCCACGGTCCCCTGCCCTGCTCAGGGACCCGGTGGCACACCTGTCCCAGGTGGCGCTCACTCCTGCAGCTTGGCACCTGCGGCCACACCTCCCCTGCAGGGGAGAGGCCACTTTCAGGTGGAGCCAGGGGTAGAGGACCCTTCCCCAGCCAGGCAGCCTGCCCAAGGCCAGGGCTTTCTAACCGCCCCCTCCCACCCGCTCCCTCTCCCTGGGCCTTTACCTGGGATCTGTTCAGGCTCCCAGAAAAATAAACATAGCAACCGCTTGGCTGGCCCGGGCTGTGGACGGAGGCGGAAATCGGCTGCAGAGGCCAGACCCCAGCCCAGCCTGGCATGACTCACCTGCAGTCCCTGCCCAGGGCGGGGGTTGGGCCTGGGGGTGGGGGTGAGGGGTTGGGTGGTGTCTGTGGGGAGGCTGGGGTGTCTGGAGATTGAGGGCATCGGGGGTTGGGGTGCCTGGAGGCTGGACACAGAGCAGCCCCGAGTGTCTGGGCTCCCCATGCCCCAGCCTGCTGCCCTCCAGGCCCTGGTCTGGCCCCCCCTATGCTTTTCCTCCCCCTTGCTCCACTGCCCCTGCCCTCGACCCCACAGGTGCCACAGAGGCTCGGCTGCTCCGTCCTTCCCCAGCAGTGGAGCCCTGGGGTGGGCCTGGGGGAGGTGGGTGGAAGCATCCACGCCCCCTCCTCCCCACAGGGTCCTCCTGGACCTGGGCCCTCCAGGTTCCACCTGCCTTGTCCCTGTGGCCCCGCTGCCCATTCCTCCCCGCTCCGCTCCTGGAGGCCCCCCACCCCCCGAAGCCCAGGCAGCAACAGACAGCTCCCCCTGTCCCTGCTCCGTGTCCCTGGACTCAGAGGCGGTGGCTGTTTCCCAGGCCTTGTGCCCCTTGCCTGTCCCCAGCCCTGGCTGAGTGAGATGCTGCTGAGGAGCAGGGACCCCAGACAGCACCTGTGAAGGACTGGCAGCAGGCTGGGGTGCGGGCCCCTCCCCTGGGGGCTCGCCCCGCGTGGCCTCAGCTGCCCGAGAGCCTGGGGGTCCCAACACAACTGGTGGCTCCAGGACCTCTGCTGGCCTGTGCCGGGCCTGACAGCGGCCAAGCCATGCCCACAACGTACTTGCTCTTCAGGTGACGCGTGGCACCCATCACTGGGCAGAGACAGCTCAGAAGTCGCTGAGCCCAACCTGCACAGGACCTCCCTTTGTTAGGGCACCTTGCCCGGGGGGC